TTATTAATGGCAAAACCTGGCTGCTCACTGCGTGGCTGCGGTCACTTGATGTGCAGAGATTTTTCCATTAAATCCATACTGTAAGATATGCGGAGATAAAATCAGGTTCGTTTGAGCAACTTCGGGGTCGTCACTTTTATCTTTATCCTTTGCACTCTCAGCTGTTTAGCTTGAGACCAATACTGCACCCAAAGGAAGCCTTAGAAAACATCCTGTGGTCCTGAAATGGTTTTCTATTGTTTGGCTTTTGCTCCTGAACATAATGCTGGCCCCATCTAATGAACGAGGGACTTGGGGAAATACCTCTTGCTTTCTTTGTTGTGCATTCAGCCATGGATTACTCTCCCTGTCCTTTTCTCAAACACTGGCAAGTCCTTTGGACCATCATTCTACAACCATGGAAGAAGTTCAATGAGATTTTAAGGAGAGGACAGAGATAGAACATCCTTTTAAACTACCTAGACTTTTCTAGCAGGTCTCTCTCACTGAATTTCAACCCAGGTTGGAGTCTAGAGGCAAACTAATACTTACCCTTTCTGTTCTCGAGATTGCAAGGCACTTTTGAAGCATTTGTCACCCACATTTTGCAGTTTTCTGCCTCCTGATCGGGCATCTATTTCTAGGTCCGTCTTCAGATCAGGCAATATTGAAGACTACTGAGAAATGAAATTATAAGAAATACGACCGGTTGGCAACTTGCTAAAGCTATCTGGAGATATCTCACGATAGAGACAGAGAAACTATTTACATGGATAAAAGCTGATCATTGATAGAGTTGTAACATCTCGAGAAAATAATTAAATCCTCTGTTTCTGTAGTCTGATGTGCAACTGGAAACAATAAAGATACACTGATCGTACAGCTTATAAAATGCTGTATTTTATTTAAATTTTGTATTTCCTTCCATAGTTCTACATTTCAAAAACCTGAAGATGTACAAATCCTCTGTATTCACCCACGATCTGATTATACCAAGGACACAAATACCTTGACTTACATATTTTAATGTGATGTCATTCCATAATTGCTAGGCACCTAAATCCAGGTACATGCCTTTGATCTAATTGTAAGAATGCGTTCACAAACCATTAGTGGACAGTTTGCAGCGTTTGAAAAGACTTGTTCCCTGGAAGCTTGAAAATATCATCATCCAAAAAACACCTAACCACCTCAAAGGCTGAGAAACCCACCTCATAATTCAGAGATAATTTATGGCATGGAGTCTGCAGTATTAAAATAACACATCTGTAAACAAGGGAAGAGCCAGGCTTTGTTTTGCATGGTGCACTCCAAGTTCATCATTCCCTGTTCGCAGAAACTGCCAGCTCAGCCCTGTTCTGGACTTATGGCTTGCAGCAAAAACAGGGTATTACAGGAGGTCATGAGTTCCTGAGAATCAAAGTCAATAATTCAAAGCTTTTCTGTCACATTTCATTATTTTTTTTTCACTAGATGATCCATTTGTACTGAAAAAGCTGAGGTTTCCTCAGGGCTATAGAAAATTCTCATGTACCATCTTTGCACTGACAACATCAAACCAACAATACCTGGAAAAATTCTTTGAGATCTCCAATCCCTTGGTAGCTTTAGTTAACTTCAGAAACACATTCAATTTAAAAAAATACAAAACAAGCCCCAGGAAGATAAACCATCTGCCATGTGAAATTGTGCAGACTTAACCCCACACATTTTTGTGAGAAAATACAACAGTTTGAGTGACTGATGGATGGAGAAGCTGATTCAGCTCATATCTGCATGAAAAGCATTCCCAGTGGTCCAAAACGATGGATTTCGCAATTTTTCTGCTCAAAGCTAAATTTCAGTTTCCACATAAGCTTTATTTAGAGACTGAAGCACGTTACAGATCCCTGAAATTGCTGCTGCTCTTCGGAGCTGAATTGTCCCTACTACGGCCAGTGTCAACTACTACTGAAAAACATCATCGACTCCCAAGGGTGCTACATCCCCCACCTGTGAGTGGGGAAGCTAAATGTTCAGAAGCCACCCCCAGCCTTCCTGCACATCACATTGACCATCTTTAATTTCTGTCCTGGCAGGTTCTAATATGAATTATATGTACTTAAACAAAAATCCTGTCCACGACAGCAGTTTGAAATTCTGATAAACCCATGAGACACTCTCCAAGTGTTAAGTTAGTACAAGAGGATCTGACTTAATAATTTCTGTTGTAATTTCAAGGAAGTGACTGGAATATTACCAGGTATTAATTTTCCCCAACAAGTCACACGATGAAAGAATTCTTTATAATCTAAAGTAATGTTTAGGTCCTATTACAAACAAATTTGAAAGGACTCATAAACTCTAATAACGAACATAGCAATTTCATCATCTCAATGGGTTACGTGTGTTTGGAATTGGGGCGGGTAACCAGTGTTGATCTTGTACCTCCAGCTGCTCTGATATAAAAGCTCTTCTTTCTCATAGTTCTTCCAAACACTTCCCTTGACTTCTTGGTGACTTGGGTAAGTCTAATTCTTCTCTATTGCTATGAATGGATCTTTTTATCGCAGGTTTCAACCTCAGTTGATGTCCGCCATCCATACTTTCGAGAGTATCTGCACTGCCTTGGGATGGAGATTCTAATGCTGGCAATGGGGTGGCAGATACATCCATTTGATGCGTGGGGCATGATGGAGTTCTCAGTGTCAGGAACACTGGGACATGGATAGTACTACCCTTACTTCGATGCATTTAACTTATTCCAAAGTTTGCATGTTATGAGGTTCAATATTTAATAAGAGCATCGCCACTGCAGCCATTCATGCAACCTGAGATGAAAGAGCAATGCATTGGAGAAAGTCATGTGTATTGTCCTGGTACAAGAAATCTTCTGGCTGTCCTTTACTGTCTTGCTTTCTTATTCTTCCTCAGAACCCTGCTAAGGACTTGCAGGACACAAAGAGTGGAGAAGAGTAGAATCATCCTTGGAGGAAATAATTGAGTTTATAGGGGAGAATATAGGCTGAATTCTTGGGTTTACCAAGGAATCTTGGTTTGTCCTGGGAATAATGATTTGAAATGAGTTTTTAAAAAGACATTAGGGACGAAAATGCTGATTTATATTGAAATTGTCCAGGCTATATCCATAGAGTGGCTGCGTAGGTGGGAATTTGAATAATTACCATTTGTTCTTTCTTGTCAAATAGCATTCTGAGCAATCTGGGCAGTGACAATCCCATAATATGTTGTTCCTACAACTCTCAGCAAGATTGAGATGAGTGGGAAGAAGAAGCTACTGTAATTAAGTTACATATAAACTACATCCCATGTAAACCTGCTGTACTCAAATCCAAGTCTTCCTACAGATTCATCAAATGACCTTGAACAAAGTCACTTTGCTTTCTCTGGTTTTGCTTCTCAGTTTTCAGTTTAAGGAGTAGAAATATAGCCAAGTTCTTTGCAGGATATTCGTGAGGGACAACACTTTCAGAGCTAGGCATAATGTTTCCCATATGCCTTTGAACATGTACACGTTTTTTAGAGAATTTTCAAAAATCAGCTTTTTGAAAAAAAGTGGATTATGATTGCAAAGTGGAAAATTAATTTATTTACTCAAAATCCTGTACTTGACTCATTATTTTAATGTAAACTGTCGAATTTTGAAGTCTTTGTCTTCTACTTAGCCTAATCATCAGTGTGTGTTGCAGCTTACCTCCATCCCTGCGAGATGTCTTGCTACGACCTGTGCTCCACCTCTGCCTGCGGCGTCTACCGCCCTCAGCCCCTCGCTGACAGCTGCAACGAGCCATGCGTCCGTCAGTGCCCTGACTCCACCACTGTGATCCAGCCACCCCCGGTCGTCGTCACCTTCCCTGGCCCCATCCTCAGCTCCTTCCCCCAGGATTCAGTTGTGGGATCTTCTGGAGCACCCGTCCTTGGGGGCTACGGGGGCTACGGGAGCTATGGGTCCCTGGGCTATGGGGGTCTGTATGGCCATGGGGGCTACGGCTCCCTGGGCTACGGGGGTCTGTATGGCTATGGAGGCTCTCTTGGTTACAGGGGTCTGTATGGCTATGGTAGACCCTATGGTAGACCCGATGGCTAGGGCTACCGCAGCCCCTACTCCTGGTACAACAGGTACAGCCTTGGCAGCTGCGGGCCCTGCTAAACACAACAGAAATATCCCCTGAGTAAGGAGTAACCGGTGACTGAGATATGCAATTTTGATCCACAGCAGTGGTCCCAAAGGACATACTGTGAAGTCCTGATCACTGTTATCCTACTGCAGCGGAGCTGGGAGCACACCTCATGTCCTTTATTTTTTCACCCTCCACTCATGGTCTCTTAGGCTTTTTTCCATCTGGGTGTGCAATGGATGGGATAAAACAAGTAATTTATGTTCTCATAAAATGCCACTTCACTGTCCAACTGAAGAAGAGCGATTACGGAAAGAATTGCTTCCACTCTGATGCACATTCTTGATATTCTACAATGCTTTTCTGTGAATGTTTATTTCTCATTAAAGTGATTCTATTCTGCATCAAACAAATGAACGTTTAGTGTTGATTTCTTCTGCTATGGATAAACAACTCTCCTCTCTGTAGAGGGGGGAAACTCACTACCTTACGTAAGATGAGACTCAAACTTCAAAAACACGGTTGAAATGGGCCAGCTATCAGTGGAGTTGGTCACCCTTTGTTGCACTTGGTGCACATATTTGGGAGCAGGAACCTTCCCTCCCCAGCTGGCCTGGGTTACAATAATAACATTATGTTTAGAAAGAAACCACACTAAACCCTCATTCCCTAATGAAGCACTTGAGTGTCTTGGCTGATCATAGCAGGAACAGAGCTGGTGGCTCAGCTGAAGCTGGATTCAAAGTATATTATGGGGAAAAGGGTGGCAGATGAGGCCCCCAGGTGAGAGGGATGCTCCTGAGTTGTAAGGGATTTAGGGAGGTGGGAGGGAGTGGTGAAGGGTATTGGCATGGAGCTGCTGAGAGGGAGAGGACTGGAGGAGCTGCAATAAGGAAAAGAGCTCTTCAGAGGTGAGTAGACTATCTAATGGACTTTTTAGATGAGGAAAGTCAAGGAAGAATATGTAAGTTAGACCTGCTGAAAATAGGAATTTCTGTTGTGAGGACTTCCCACGCAGAAGGAACTGGGAAACATGGCAACAGTGTTGAGGATATGTATACAAGGCTATGACTTTTTCTACCTTTTAAGCTTTCCAGGCACCATAACTTTGTTCTATCTGTTCCAGCTGTTCTTGCTGTTCATCTTGTTCACAGATGAATTAGCCCTTGGAGCAGCTGTGTGAAGTGCCTGCTTTTCTGTCAAAAAACATTCAACACCTTAGGTTTCATGATTATACAGAAAGACCGTTACCCATACATTGGATGTAAAAGTTCCATTTATTTCTTTAAGGATCTAATAGAAAATTAATTCAACTTTCTGCAAAGATTTTTACTAAGGACAGAGTTTAAGTATTTGAGCGAGAACCTGAAGTTGAAAGAGATGACTCAAATCTTACCTGGAAGAAATTCTTACTAAAGTCTAATTTTTTTTAGGAAAGTGTTTAAAATTGGTAATCTGCTGTGTTCTTTCTCTACCATTACTAATCTGTAACCAGTGGGTGTACAACCAAGAAGCCAAATTCTTCAAAAATGTCAAGAATCTTCATCTGAAAAATGGGGAGGGCTGGACAGTAGTTCCTTCTGTGCTGAGAGCTTCACGCTTCTTTTGTACATTTGAAATCCCTGATTTTTTGGGCAGGACATTCATCTACATAGTTTAGATGTTATTGACAGCTGCACAGATTAGACATCTCCTACGACAATGATAAAAACATGAGAAAAGAACACCAGAACATGGCAACTTTGATGCAATAAACTTTTAATGACAGTGAGAAAAGGAATACATTTTCAGAGTCTCCAAGAAGTATGAAACTATTCTCCAGTCGAGGATACATTCACATATGATAGATTTTTTTTTTTTTTTCCCTTCCTGAGTCTTAGCTGTTGATTTGAACAGACAGGAACCATTTTGAGCAACTTTTTTGCATGTTTATCCCAGGCAATATAGAAATGTGAGAGGAGAAACATTGAGGCAGAAACTGAAAACAGAAGTTAAGAGGAGAAATTTGAAAGGGGCTGAAGGGATACAGCTCTTTGGTCTTGGAACAGAGCAGTGGAGAGTCAGACATCTTTAGCTGTGAAACCATCACATTTCATTTGTCAGTTATACTTCACTTAAGCGGAAGTCTTCGATGCTCAGTTGAGGATCAAGATGGTATCGTGCATTTATCACTCATCCTTTAGTCAAGGGATACTTCTGTAGGGTTTAGAAGGTCCCACAGCTGCCACGGCGGGACCTGTTGTACCGGGAGGAGAAAGGGGTCCAAGAGCCAGAGCCATAAGATCTACCATAGCCATACAGGCCCCTGTAACCCAGGGAACCCCTGTAGCCATAGAGACCCCCATAGCCTGGGGAGCCATAGCCCCCATGGCCATAAAGACCCCCATAGCTCAGGGAGGAGCCATAGCCCCCCAGACCACCGTAGCCCAGGGAGCCATAGCCCTCATAGCCATACAGACCCCCATAGCCAAGGGTGGAGCCATGGCCCCCAAGGATGGGTGCTCCAGAAGATCCCACAACAGAATCCTGGGGGAAGGAGCTGAGGATGGGACCGGGGAAGGTGACAACGACTGGAGGTGGCTGGATCACGGCTGTGGAGTCAGGGCACTGACGGACGCAAGGCTCATTTCCGCTGTCAGCGAGGGGTTGAGGGCGGTAGATACCGCCAGCAGACGTGGAGCTCAGCTCGTAGCAAGACATCTTGCAGGGATGAAAGTCAGTCTGTAAAACACAGTCATTTATGTTAACATTAAAGAAATACCCAACATTAAGTTACGATGAAGTAGTCCAAGGGTATAAGTAACTAATCTGGGAAGAAAATATATCATAGAATCAGATTCATTCAGATTTTCTATTATTATTCTTCCTAGCACTGTAATCTGGAGGTTAGTTTTGACTTTGTCATACTAAAGTCATGTACTTTTCAATTGTGTCTTTGGTATTTCCAGATAAGCTAATTTGACAGTATTATATTACTATTAGTTAATGGTTTCTAATCAATAAGTTTGATCTTTCCTGTTATAAACTCAGCAGAACGCTGCTAAATGCAGTCATATACAACTGTGTTTATAAACTATTCTTTATCACCTAAAACAGTCAAGAAATTCTTTGAAGTGCTAAAATGTTAAGAGTTTGGGATTCAAAACCATTTGCTATACCCCTCTTCCGAAGCCTTTATACATCTCTACAGGACCTGATAATGAGTGAGAAACCTAAAGGAGGCCTACAAGAAAGCTGGAGAGGGACTTTTTGCAAGGGCATGTAGTGACAGGACAAGGGGCAATAGATTTAAACTGAAGAGAAAAGATTTAGATTAGAGATAAGGAAGAAATTTTTTACAATGAGAGAAGTGAGGCACTGGAACAGGTTGCCCAGAGAAGTAGTGTCTACCCCATCCTGGAATAGTTCAAGGCCAGGTTGGATGAGGCTTTGAGCAACCTGATCTAGTGGAAGGTATCCCTGCCCATGGCAGAGGGGTTGAAATTAGATGATCTTGAAGGTCTCTTTCAACTCAAACCATTCTGAATCTATGATTATTTCCAACAGCAAATAATCTACAGACCACTGGCAGCCTGGCAGTAACTGAAGAGGACTTGGTCCTAAATTAAAATCAAGACTTCTTGACAGCAAGTTAAGTTTAGCAAAGTTTGAGATAAATCTGACTTACCCAATTCACAAAGGCGAGTAAGATGAGAGAAGTGGATAGAAAGACTTAACGCGGAGAGCTTTTATACAGCTCCGTCGATTGCCTGGAGGACATTAGGCATCCTGCGTGTCAGTTCGTAATTAGGTACCAACTCCAAATTGTAGGACACGTAGTTCCTCAAAGTGCTGAAATTGTTTTTGTTTATTGCTTGTGTGTTGCAGGCACTTCAAACCCACACATAGCGTGACATGCACACTCCACCACAGACCTCTCTATTATCTCCAGGCTTTATGTGTGGAATTATTTTTTATTATTCCATTGCTCTCTTTAGCGTTGCGGGAGGAAGTAAGCTGACTTGACTTATTTAAGAGTCCTGCATAATTAGGATGAGAGAAGGACAGTCATTCCTTTTGTCCAGTTACAGGTCTTCTAACGTAATCAACTGCATACCTGGAGACAAAATGGAATTTCTTTTAGGATCTCAAATGAAGACTGGAGACAAATAGCAAGGGTAAAAACACTATTTCTGCAGGCTTAGCACTTCTACCTCCAGCTACCCGATACAAGGCAAACACAATAATTAGAAGCATCTTTTAATGGCTTTTGGATGGTTCTCTACTAGTTGCCTTTCAGTCTCGGGAATGAAGAAATATTTCAGCTGACAGTTGCAAGTCTATGGAAACTGATTTTTCTGAGTTGTTTCATCAAGCTTTGCTTTCCTTATGTTTCATCATGTTTTCTCCTCCTACTGTTAGAGAGATGTACCTAGGAACATAAGACTAAGAGAAGCAAGTAAATCAGGTGATAAGACATGACTGCTAAAAGGGATTTTAGCCCTGACACAATGAAGGAAGATCCTGTTGTACCCTGGGGGTTTTTGGCTAATAGTTTAGTTAAGTAGTTTTCTGTTTCTGGACCAAGGTGCACTTCAATAAAGAAGAAAGTAGATTTTATTCTGAATTTCAAAGAAAGGAAGGTCCAAAAAGTGTTATAAACCATGAGCTGATTACAGGAAACACCCAAGTGACCTTAACTTACCTATTTTAATGTGATAAACTCTCGTAATAGTGGGGTGTATTCATCCAGGTGTACTTTTTACATAATTATGACACAGTATGTACAAGCTAGTAATGGGTGTTCATGAGGTATTCAAAAATCTCTTGGAATGTTCTTGTAAGACTTTGAAATGGCTTTTTTTTCAGTATTGCAGCTCAGGAAATCTCCATATGTATCTCCAGATTTGGAAAAGCTCATAATTTAGAAATAATATGTTGACAATTATGATAACCATGATAATGATATAGTATTACGATAATGGCATAAACAAAGAAAGAAACCTCAGCAAAATCCAGCATTTGCCTTTCCCAGGCATAATTGCCTTCTACTGAAAGATGTCATCAATGATGGGTGAGCTGCAAGATCGCTTGTAGACCAGTATCAAGGACTTCTGAAGAACGAATTGGGAATTAAAGGAAGCTTCAGGAAAATGTACCCTCTCAAACTTGCAGATCAAACTGAGCTGAAAGTTTCAAATATCCTTGACTGTTTATGATTTCAGATATTCACTGAGAGTCTGCTCAGTTTTAGATGTCACTTCCATGCCACTTTAGACACCTTGATGTCTGAAAGTTTACTTTTATCTATTGGATATGTAAGTGAAATAAGAGCTGCAGAAATGCTCTAACACCTGTCAATGATCTTTGATTTAATCAGGAAGTCTCAGCAGTTTTGAACAGCCAAAAGGAGCTTGCTCATAAAAAGACTTTTTCCCTAATACAGTTAAATTTGGAGTTTCTCCTATATACCTTCTGCAAAACCACACAGCTCTCTCAGTAAATCACGAATTTAGATATTAATCCAGTTTACACTTTGCCTATTTTGAGTTTTCCATCCTGAGCATTAAAAATAAAAATACTTCTTCTTTCAGGACTAAATTCAACTTTAAGCTGTAGTTTGAGGGTCAGATAAAACCAAAGGCTATTTTGGATATCTATCACTCTGTGTTTGGGAATGCTCGCAATCTAATTTAATTCAGATAGTATTGAGAATCCTCCATGGATTCCAATAGGAATTGTATCATGTCTCAAACAAGCCGAAGCACATGGAAAAGATTGCCCACCTTCCTGAGGATTTAATGATAGACTGTGTTTTATCTTTAAGAAAAGAGAAAACTTACATAAGGGGCTTTGAAAGAAACACCTCACAGCAGGTTATTTCTGATAAATGACTGAGCATCGTCATATAAGACAGTAAAAGAAGACTATCTGTGTATATACAGCTTACTACATGGTGCAACTCCAAAAAGAATAGAAAACTGATATTAATGTCGTGAATCATGTTTTAGGATGAAAGATGCATTAATTTCACCCATCACTCTCCTAGATGAAAGAACCTTGTGTGATGTAATGTTTGTGTTATGTTACATGATAATCGAAATCAAGTACTAAACAAAAACAGAAAGCAACGCAATTTCATCACTTTGCGCGGCTATCAATACAAAAAATGTGTTGTGTCAGCTAATTAGATCCACGTTCATTAAACCAGCCTCTCATCCCTCGGGCAGTTTGAACTGTATATAAGCTCGCTCCACTCAGGGTTCTTCCAACCTCTTCTCTTCACTCACTCTTCACAGCAATTGGGTAAGTCTGAATCTGCTCTTTACAACTGTTGGAAAAGCTCTTTGCTATAATGCAAATTAATCTAGGGTGGTCTTTTCCATTAAGAACTAGTGGGGAAAATCTTAGGTGAAAAGATAAAAGCTTACAGAAAGGTTCAAAAGTGTTACGGGCAGCTGTTCTTTGCATTTGGGGTCAACATTTAATTTCAAAGCAAACTGAAAGTTCCTTCATATGGCAGAAAATTAAGTTCATTGTTAGTTCACTTCCAACAGCTGAAGAAATGATGTGACTAGTTCAAGATGCATTCCTCTTTGTTTATATGAGTAACTGGAAATTATCTGAACAACTTTAAATCTTCATGGTTCACAGGGAAATACTGAGCTTAGAAGCAGAGCTTCCATTATCTCCAGTTTATTCCATTATAGATCACTCAAAGTGCTTTTGTATTAAATCAAGATAAATGGGCATGAATACTACCAGAGATCAGGCTCTGGCTTCGAGTAGGACCCAGAGAGGAATCAAGAGCTGTTGAAAATGCTCTGTAAGGAATTCATTTAGGAGAAAGAAGAGTCATGGAGGGAATTTCAGGAGCTGACAGGTGAAGAGCTGGGGTTTTTGTGTTAATAGGGGCATGTTGGTCGGGGTGAGATTATTTCAAAAGAGTTTAGAGCTCAGAATCAAATTGTTGTTAAGCTAGTAGTAAATATCTCAGTGCCCTAATTCAAAGTTTTGGAACTGGGGACAGCAATCTTTGGAATTCCCTTGTAATGGTCTCATCAAACAAGTTACTGAGCAAATCTGAATAGACAATAACTTACAATCCCTGTTCTTACAAGGCTCAGCACAAAGGAGATCAGTGGAAATGAAGAGTCAGAGTCATGAAATCATGCATAACAACACACTCCGTTCTTGGAGTTCCAGTCCTTGCTGATCCCAGTCCTTGCTGATCCACTGACTTACGGCAGCATTTAAGCAAATAAGTTTGCTGATCTGCTTCAATTTTCATTTCTAATAGACACGGGTAAATTGATGCACTTCAAAGCACTTGTCTGTGGAAAGGTAGCAAATTCTATAGCATTTTTATGTGTATGAATAATGTCTTATACTTGAAAAATCAACTCTTGTAGATTGACCTCCATCCCTGCAAGATGTCTAGCTATGACCTGTGCTCCACTGCCATTGGTGGCATCAACCGCCCCCAGCCACTTGCTGACAGCGGGAACGAACCGTGTGTCCTTCAGTGCCCTGATTCCATCACTGTGATCCAGCCACCTCCGTCCGTTGTTACCTTCCCTGGCCCCATCCTCAGCTCCTTCCCCCAGGCTTCTGTTGTGGGATCCTCTGGAGCACCCGTCCTTGGTGGCTATGGCTCCTCCCTGGGCTATGGAGGCTATGGCTCCTCCCTGGGCTATGGGGGTCTGTATGGCCATGGGGGCTATGGGTCCCTGGGCTATGGGGGTCTGTATGGTTATGGGGGCTCCTCCCTGGGCTATGGGGGTCTCTATGGCTATGGGGGCTCCCTGGGTTACAGGGGCCTGTATGGCTATGGTAGATCTTATGGCTCTGGCTCTTGGAACCCTTTCTCCTATCGGTACAACAGGTACCGCCGTGGCAGCTGTGGGACCTTCTAAACCCTACAGAAATATCCCTTGACTAAAGAATGACTGGCAAATGCACGATACCATCTTGATCCTTGACTGAGCTCCTGACTAAGGAGCAGAGAATCAAAAACTTCTGCTTAGTATAGTGAAGTCAGAATAGCTCCATAAATTACACATCTTATTTCCTTCTTCATTTGTTTCATCTCCTCTTCCTTGCTCCTGCCAGCAGTCAAATGTGTAACTCTATCATTGTCCCGGAGGACTCTTTCATCTCCCTGAAACTACCACTACCTGCAAGAAGCCTCGAGGTGGGACAACCTGCCGATCTCTGCCTTCTGGATGCTTTCCTGCCCTTGAAATAAAACAAGCCTGCATCCAACTCCTGCCTCTCTGTTGTTCCTTTCGAGGCCCAGTGTGGCCTGCATGTCAAAGGAGCCCTGCACGTGCTGCCCACCAGCTGGGGCAGGGCAGTGGCTCAGCCTCAGCTGCCTTTGGGGAGACCCCACAGCCCTGGCCATGCACAGTCTGGCTGTTAATAAACCTACCTGCCCAGTCTTTCATTGTTACTGAGCTGGAATGATCATCTCCACTACACTAATTATTCTGGTTGTCAGACTTCCAGTAGTTAGTCTAATTTTTTCACTAGTCAATTCAGTGCTGGAATTCCTTTTCATCTTACATCTTCCCAGATGATTTACAAGAAATCTGTGTTCAAAGACATAGTAAAAAAGCCATGGCCTGAAGTTCCGTCAAAGCGTATTCTGAAAAGGAATAATAGGAGGAAGGTAAACAATGGGAAACAATTTTTAAGATAGGTATCTGATGAGCGAAGATCAAGCACTGCCTCTTCTTTTTTTTTTTTTTTTTTTTTTTTTTTTGTTAATCACTGCTGTGATAACAGTTGCCTCAGGGACGTTTTGGCTGAGCCTGTAAGTCAGCTGGGTGAAGTGAAAAGAATATCAACCAATGTATTACAGAAGGTTTACCTGGTGCTTCACTGAGACTTTTTCAAAGAAAAGCTCCGTGCATGAACGTACAGTCTCTTGATCTCAGCCCTCTATCAGTGTCATGGAATAGCAAGTCTGATTTTAACAGGTACTTTCATTGTCTGTCCATCCCCGTCCCTGCCCCCTCCAAATGTAACTGGGTATGTTGGACAAGTGTGTGCTATAAGTAGTGATGAGTTGAAAGGAAAATTAGTCTATAGTACTTGTGAATCTCACTTTTAAGAAAATACTGTTTTATTTTTACTGATTAACAAATACTCATTGAGAATATCATAGAATCCAAGAATGGTTTGGTTTGGAAGGGACATCAAAGATCATCTAGTTCCACCCTCCCTGCCGTGGGCAGGGACACCTTCCCCCTAGATCAGGTTGCTCTAAGCCTCATCTGACCTGGCCTTGAAGACTTCCTGGGATGGGGCAGCCACAACTTTTCTGGGCATATTTTGACCAAAGAAAGTCCTCCATGGAAGAATAATTCTCTCTCTGTCTGCTTCACCTTCCCTGTCCCAACACTGCCTACCTGTAGTGGCCTGGACTTTTAGGGAAGTGTCTGGGAAGGGACTGGAGCTTGCCAGGATCAGCTGAGAGCCCAGCCCCTGCCCCATGAGTGTCTGGGATGTGTGAAGATCTCAAGCACCAAAGGTGGGAGAAGAAAGTCTTTTGGACACAAGGAAATGGCTCTGTCCCTGCTTCTGCTCCCCATCCTCACATGGCTTGAGGCAAGGACACTGCCATCATGAATTCCCAGGAGCTCAACAACAAACCTCCCGGCTTGTGCCATGCCAGCCCTGCATCTCCTTGGCTCAAGTACCTCTCTTGTGCTGAGCAAAGCCCTCTTACCTCCAGCTAGTTCAGCCCAGGGCAGTTCCTGGGACAGCTTTACAAACCACGAATGCCTGGTTTCCTCTCCATTTCTTCTTCTGCTCAACACTAGGATCCTTGTTCTCATGCACAGCCTCTAAGAGGTGCTTCAGTGTAAATCGTACGTGATCACAGATGAACACTTTGCTGCTGCTTCTCTCAACGAGGCAGTGTGAGGCAGGTACCAGCCAGCACCCGATTAAACGTGTATTGTGTCAGACAGCAAGTGCCTAGCCCAAGATAACAAGACTGGTGAGAGTTACTAGCATCCAGCTGACATGATTACGTAGCTTCTATTTGGGCTGAATACCTGTTCAGGGTGAGTTCATGTCTGGTTGCAAAATGGTATGTAGGGATACCCTTTCTGTCAGTGTTTAATGTTAATATGGGAGTTATAGGAACGGAGGGAGCTTATTACACTGGTTGCTCAAGGATCAGTCTCAGAAAACCTCTAATTATTTGTTTGAATTAATGGCATTGGCACATAATTCAGGAGCACTCTGTTTTACGTGCTGATAATGTAAAGCTGAGTGGCATTAAACAGGAGGGAATCAGACTTTACGACTGGAAAAACGGGATGGCTTAACTGATGGCAGTAACAGTAACGGAATGATCCTCAGTAATACAGTGCAAAGCCACGTGCCTGCTGACTACAGAGAAAAGATCTGGTGTAACACAGGCTGTAATCGGAAAGAAGTGACAGAAGAGGAAAAATTCTCTAAGTAGCCCCAAATAGGTGATGGTAAGGTATAGGGAAACTGAATGCTCTCAAGTGAATCCATTGTAAACACAGAATACTGGTGGTGGTAATATAAGCAGAACTTGTAAAAACAAGGGGAAGAGCCCACCCAATTTCCCTTTCACTGCCGACACATCACTACTTCTCCAGAAGACAGGGTGAATCCAAGAAATTTGGATGGCACTAATATTGAGTTGATCAATCTCACACGTACCACAGTAAGGGGTAAAATAATGTTGTGCAATGGGTCATCTTGAGTAAAACTAAGAAAAAGATCACCTGTGTTTGCTTTTGACCCCAAAGGAGTTACAAATTCCCTGAATGTGATACGGTAGCAGTTTTGTAGAAGTACAAAGTTTTGGAAAGTGAGAGGGTGGCATCAAGCCTTTTTCTGGAAGAACATGAACAGTAGCTAGACCCCACGCTCTAATATACAAATGGTATGGCCCAAATATACATCTGTACACATATTTTTATATGTGTCCTAGTTATGACTGGGACACTTAGTTTTTAGCAGCTAGAAGAGCTCTGTGTTTTCGTTTTAGTCTGGGATTTGCTATGAGAAGAATGTTGATAATGCACAGATGTTTGTAGTTGGCACTGAGGCCTCAAGGACTTCTCAGCTTCCCATGTTTTGCCAGTGTGCAGGAGTACAACAGGTGGAGGGGACCACGGCAGGGACCTAAGGTTCACAGCTCCCCTTATGATTTGAACTTAGACTTAGGACTGAGAGCTAAATTGGCCGGTGAAGTATTCCATATCACACAACCTCATGCCCAGTATACAGAAAAGGGTTGACAAAAAGAAGGGCTTTTGTTCTTCCAGGGCTCTCACTCTTGGATTTGTGGTCTCTTGGAGTGCTATCTTGCTCTCTCTCTTCTCGGGCCTCTCGCTCACCCAGGATTACAGTGTCAGGACTTACTTGTTTTGGAATAATTTACCAGAAAGGGCTAGGTGATGGTCACTGAGTGGTGAGCTAATGCACTGCAAATCACTTACTTATATACATTATTATGCATCTATAAAAAATATTATTTTATCATTGCTACTTTTACTTTAATGTTATTCTTACTATTAAATTGTACTTATGTCAACCCATGAGTCTCCTTTCCTGTTCCTCTTTAATTCTCTTCCCGTTTCCTCGGAGGTAAGGGGTGGCGAGCAAGCAGTTGTGTGGAACTTAGTTGCCAGCTGAGCTAAACCACAGCAATAAGTGTGCATGAATTTCTTGAAGAGGCATCGGTACTCAAGCCTCCTGCCCTCAATTCATTTCTATGTTTCCTTAATTGAATCATTCCTCTCATTAATTAGGGAAAAAAGCTTTTCCATGAGCTATGAAACACATTTCGCAAGCTGGATAAGAAGAAACCAGGAGTTGTCTCTTCCCTCATAGATGTGGCAAAATGTATTATATTCTCTGGTGATATATGGAGAGACAAGCATTTGTCATCCTACAGCTGCTGGGCACTGAACTTCAAACAAGGAGAGAGAGAGACAGCACTTGGATGCAGGAAGGCTTTATTGTGCCCAGAGGGGCAGAGGTGGTTATCAGAGAGCAGGTGGGCCAGAGCCAGAGAGGCTGGTTGCCACGTGTTGGAGGAGGCAGAGGGATCTTCTCCAGAGCATGGCTTCCGGCAGTGCAGGCTCCCCTTAGTGTGGCACTGCAGATGCTGAGGACTTGGTGCTGCAGCCTGGCTGAGCCTTTTGGGTGCACCTCCTGCCCCAGCCGCCAGCTTGGAGGAGAGGGCAGGGCAGG